CGCTTACTGACTTGCTCCTCGTGGCTTGCTTATCCTGCTTTCTTATAGAACCCAGGACCACCAGCCCAGGGATAGCACCACCCACAATGGGCTGGGCCCTTCCCCATCAATCACTAATTAAGAAAATGTCTTACAGCTGGATATTATGGAGACATTTTCTCAATCGAGGTTCCCTCCTCTCAGATGACTTTAGCTTGTGTCAAGTTAACATAAAACTAACTGGCACAGTGATTTTGATGTTTATGGAGGATTCTGCTGCAGAAAGGAGGCTTCCCTCCAGAGTGTGTTCAAATGAGGGTGACTTACAAACAAGAGGGTTCTGAATGGAGGGACCTTTTTTGAATGTGAATAAGACCTTATGATACAGTGTCAATCCCAAAGGTGAGAATAAGACCACTATCACAATTTGAGCCAAATTTAAAGCAAGCTTGATTTTTTTTTATTGGGGTGCACCCAAGAGCTGGCCAGAGACTGCCTCCTAAGTCGGGCTAAAGAGAGCAAATGTGAATCCATTTCTCAGGCCCCTTTCAAAGAATGAACTCACGAGTAGTTTTACAGAAGAGAGACAATGAGGCAGTAAGGAAATACAAAATTTTTTTTTTAAATCATGAGGTCACCATGTGACTAGGAAGGGTTCAGGGAGGGTCATGGAGTGTAAGGGTATTCTCAAAAACAAGTCAAAGTCATGAGTTGGGGAGGGTCAGGTTCCAGGACACAGAGAGCAACTCAGTAAATAGAAACTTACTCTTAACAATACATCATAATGGGGTCAGGCAGGTTCCTCATCCCCCCCCTTGACTTGTGTTCCCCTGTCTTTGACAGGGGGATATCTTAATAATATCATCGAGCAGCAATGATTCTAAAATTGTGTGTGTGGTGGGTGATCAAGTTAGCGATACACTAGAGGGCACAGGGCCTGATTATACTAATTAGTAGAAACAGTGTTAGGTGGCCACTGAAGGGGGAGAAACATCTTAGCCATATTGGCCAGTCTAAATTTGTTTGAGAGACTCTGCCTATTTCTTTATGTAGACCATCAATTTGGTTGTCAATAGTATGAGAGAACCTGAGATATTGAAACAGCGCATTCTGGTAAATTGCTGACAGTCAGGATTATGTTTAAGTAATAGTTAACCTATAGTAGCTCTATTTTGAAGAATAGTTATTCTCAGTTCTCCCATTTCTTGGGAGATTAATTTCTGCTAATATTTCTACTGTAATATTAGTAGTTTTTGAAATGAGACAGGCTGTTTTAGAAATCTCTCTTTGTGGTCCAACAACATGTCCTGGGACAGGTGACAGAAAGGCTGGGGTAGCAGCCACTGTAGTGGGATCTAATAGATGTGAGGAGTCTTCGCAGTTTTCAGGAAGAGCTCTTACAGTTCTTATAGTTCAGATTGTAAAGATTTGCTGAGTAAAATAGGTGGAACATATCCAATCCCACAAAAACCCTTATATCCTCCTGGGAGTGCAGATTAAGTATTATTTTCACAGAAAAATCCTAAGGGCAATTGTTTACGGGGGTGGGTGTGGGGGTGGGTGATGAGAAGTGGAATTACAATAAGAAGGGACATGTGTGCAATCAAAACATAGACAGAGGAGGAAAAAGACATTATCAACAGGAACATCAGTCACAGCTTTTAAAACATTAGCAAGGGGCATGTTCTATTTTGTCCTCCGTTATCATTGTATAATTTTCAGAAGAAACCTCTATTCCATACAAATTTCTTTTTAAGAGCCAGGGAATAGAGGGATCTCCTCTGATACAGAATGAGTTTTCTTGTTGGCTTTTTAGTGCTAGATGGACCCAGAGATTGTATTCCACATTATTAGTTACAGACAGGGTTACTCTGGGCATGTTAAATTCAATTGAAGTGATTAACGAATCTTCCCTTCCCTTTCTTACTTTAGCATACCTTTAATTTCCATTATCAGAACCCTTTAAAGAATATTTGATTATGCTAAGTCTGTGTTATTATGTTGGGATTGGCCAGTTAGATTAGTCCATCCCAAATATCCTCTATCCATCTGGCTAAAGACTGTTCCCTTCTTTTGTCTAAACTATGGGACCCGGTGGATAAAAGGAATCTTTTGCATGGCAAGACAGTATCAGGGTGTTTCCTAAGATAGGGTGCCTCTTATTCCCCCTGTCAAGATACACTTAGGTTCTGTCTGCAAAGGTTGGAAATAAAACAACAAAACTGTTAGTCATAGGATGATCATGATGCGAATTTCAACAGGAAGAACACAAAGTTATGTTAGACAGTCAAACCTTAGAAAGTTTGATTTTACCAGTCCATTTTCAGTCATTTTCCACCTCTGGGGGTTGAGCTCCTCTTCTGTGGGTTCCTCCGGTGCCTTCTTGAACTGTGAGTGATGAATCCAGGCAGAAATACTGGTGACTTTAACAGCAGTAGGAATCCAGAGAATCACAATGTAAGGAATCCTTTCCATCTAAGTTCAAGCTGGTCAGTTTTGAAGTGGTGGAATAATACAGCATCTCTGTGCTGGAGTGGGTGATCAAGTGAGTGGTACCCAACAGGTTGAGCAGCTGGAACCTGAGGGAGAATCTTATCCAAAGTTAATTTCAATCCTTTTAAGGACTCAGAGATTGGAGTGAGACAATCTGATAACAGTCTGGCATGTAGCTGAGAGATCATGGGAGGTGGTCACCCATAGACTATTTCATATGGGTTGAGCTTTCCTTAATAGGGGATACATCAGACTCGGAGAAGAGTATAAGGTAAGAGGTCAACCCAGTTACCACAAGTTTCAAGAGTATATTTAGTTAAATCTCCTTTCAAGTTTTCTATTCATTCTCTCTACTTTTCCTGAACTCTGAGGGTAATACATACAATGAAGTTTCCAATTAGGTGAAGAGCCTTAGAGAGCAATTAAGATAACTTAACTGTGAAGGCCAGGCTGTTGTCAGATCCCAGAGATATGTGGAATCCAACTCTGGGAATAATTTCCATTATGAATTTCTTAGCTATCACTTGGGCTGTTTTTATTCTGGATGGAAAGGCTTCTACCCAGTCTGTGACAGTATCAACAATGACCAGCAGATATTTGTAGCCTTACAATCCTGGCTTGACTTCAGTGAAGTCCAGTTCCCAAAATTCACTGGATACTACTATACCTTGACTCCATTGACCTGGGGGAAGTATGTCCTTCTTTGCATTTACCTGGGCACAGGTCAGGCAGTAGTCTGAAATGCTCTGAAGTTTCCCTCAGTGTCCAGGTGGCCAGACATGGGGGGAGATGAGGTCTGAGATTTTCAGTTGACAAGTTCATGGCATGATGCAAGGCAGTTAGGCAATGTTGGCCCAGTACTTTTGGCATGCAGATTCTTCCATCAGGCAAGATCCATCATTCATTGCAGCTCTCCTGAGCCTTCAAGTCAGAATGTGACTTAATCTCTTCTGGATTGTACTCAGGAATATCTTCATCATAGCAGAATTGGGGCTCAGGCACAGCAGATAGTTCCAGGACAGTCTGGGGTTTGGGTTCCCTAAGAGCATCCTCTTTTGGAAACTTGATCTGCATGGCTGTTACCTTGAGTTTGGGGATTTTTGTCTTTTTGATGTCCTGTCCAGTGAATTATGGCCAGTTCAATTGGTAGCCAGATGGCCTTCAGCAACTGGACAATTTCATATTTATTTTTGATAGTCTTTCCCTCTGAGATGAGTAAGCCCCTCTGTTTATATATCTGTCCATGACCATGAGCCATGGAAAAAGCATATCAACTGTCTGTGTAGATGTTCACCCTTTTTCCTCTAGCCCATCTTAAAGCCTGTGTCAGAGCAATTATTTCTGCTCTCTGGGCAGATGTGCCTCTCAGCAAGGCTTGTGCCCAAATGACCTCCTTCTGGACTATGATGACTGCCACCCTCACATACGTTGTTACTTCTTGAATGAAGCTGCTGCCATCCATATAGAGATCTCCATATTTCTGGTAGTGAGAGGAATGTCTGTCAGTTCAGGTCACATACCTTGGATGATGTCCAGCATCTCTAGGCATTCATGGATGTACTCCTCAGGGTCATCAACTGGCAGCAGGGTGATGGGATTAATGGCCAGTGAGTTATCAAAAGTCAGTCTGTTCTTATCTAAAAGAAGGAATTGGTACTGGGTCAGATGGGCATTAGACATCCGCCAGTTGGTGGTATCTCTCAGCAGGGCTTCCACAGCATGTGGAGCTGTTACAGTTAGGATCTGTCCCAACATGAACTTATCAGCTTCTTCTACAAGAATTGCAGTGACTATGATAGCTTTTAAACAAGGTGGCCATCCACAGGCTACAGGATTCAGTCTCTTTGAGATGTAAGCTATGGACCTTTTCCAGGGACCCAGGGTCCATGGACATAAAGATGAAAGGGCTTGGAGATACCAGGGAGAGTTAATGCATGGTCTTGTACCAGGATTCCCTTTAAATTCTTACACGGACTGTTCATGGTTCTCAGTCCATTCCTTCAGCCATAGCAGAGTACAAGGGTTTGGCAATTTCAGCAAACCCAGGTATCCAAAGACAGCAATATCCAACAGCTCCCAGAAATTCCCTAACTTGTTTCCTGGTGGTTGGAGTTGGAATTTGCAGTACAGCTTCTATGCCAGCCTGGGACAACAGTCTTTTCCATTCTCTCAGTTCATATCCTAAGTAAGTAAACCTGGAGAGAGCAAATGTGGGCTTTCTTTTTAGAAACTCTATGACCTAAATGGGCTAGAGTTTCTACAAGTCCCCTGGTGGCTCTCAGACATTCCTCTTCATCTTTAACAGCCAATAACAAATCATCTACATATTGAAGCAAAGTTAGCTCGGGGTACTTACTACAGAAGAGACTTCCATCCTGGTTGAGTGACTCATTGAAGATGGTGGGAGTTTTTGACCCCTTGAGGCAGTCTGGTCCAGGTTAGTTATCCTGATATTCGGAATCAGCCCATTCAAATGCAAAGATGGGCTGACCTAATTTTGACAGAGGAAAGGAGAAGAATACACCTTTTTTGTTTGTTTGTTTGTTTGTTTATTTTGTTTTTTAAGACAGGATTTCTCTGTGTAGTTTTGGTGCCTATCCTGGATCTCACTCTACAGACCAGGCTGGCCTCAGACTCACAGAGATCTGCCTGGCTCTGCTTCCCAAGTGCTGGGATTAAAGGCATGCACCACCACAGCCAAGCTAAGAATGCATCTTTTAAGTCCAACACAGTGTAAACTTTATGCTCTGATGGTAGGACATTGAGCAAAGCATAGGGATTTGGGACAGTTGGGTAAATGGATGCTATCCTCTTGTTCACTTCCCTCAAGTCTTGTATTGATCTATAGTCTTGAGTTCCAGGCTTTTGGACAGGCAACAAGAGGGTATTCCAGGCTGACTAGCAAGGAATAAGTATGCCTGCTTCAAGGATGTGAATCTTATTCTCTTCCCTGGCTTCTGAACTGATGGGGTATTGCTTACTCCAATGGGCACTGCCTCAGATGTTAGTTACACTATGATGGGGGCACATGTTTGGCCAAGCCAAGAGGCTTGTCCTCTGCCCAAACTGTGGGAATTTCCTGGGTCAGCAACTTTTTCCATTCCCCTTCCAGGGAATGTGTTGGATTTTGGAGGGGCGGCTATCCCTCACTTATTGGGCAGGTTATAGTTAAAGCAGGGCCTCCCAGTTGCAACCTAGGAGAATCTCCTGAGAATGATATTGTTGCCTGGAGCTTGTTCAAGAGGTCCCACCCCAGTTAAAAGGCAGGAACATTCAGGAATAACAATGAAAGAATGAGCCACTGCTCCTCGTCCTAGGTTAATAGTCCAATCAGTGGTCCATTTGTATTCTTTGACATCCCTTGTTAACCCCTGAACTTCCATTGTTTGGTTGGTAAGGGGGCCCAGAGGCTCTTGTCATAACATATGAGTAGCCCCTGTGTCCACCAGAAATTTTGCAGGTTGGCACCCTATGGTGAAGGTTACAATAGGCTTCTGGGGACCTAGTTCAAAGGAGCCTCAGCCTCACTAATCCTATATAGCTAGGATTGGTTTGCGTTTGGAGGTCTACCTGTTTCTGGCATGGACAGTCAGACCTATGACCAATGACCTATTTCCTTACAGGAAGCAGGCATACTTATTCCTTGCTTACATTCCTTTTGTAAAGGTCTCCTCCTTTTATCATGGTGTGCATGGCCAGAGTTGAGAGTATCTGAGACTTCAGGGCAACCATGGTGGCATGCCCCATCTTCTTTATCAGAAGACCTTCACCATCAAACACCTTCTGTGCTGTCTCCCATAGATCTCACCTGTTCTTTCCTGCAAACCCATCTATCTTTTGTGTCTTTCTACATATGTCAGGGGCTAATTGAGTAACAAAGGCCAGGTTCATCGCGTTGAGATTTGCCGGGTACTCTGGGTCAATAGGAGTGTATAGCCAACAGGTGTCCAGGAGATGCTCCAGGAAAGCTGAAGGCGATTCATCTGGGCCCTGTTTCACATCTGTTACCTCAGGTAAGTTAGTGGGCTTCCGGACTGCCCATGTCATCCCTTCGAGGAGAGCCTGGTGGTATTCATTGAGTGACCTCCTGCTCCTCTCTGTGTTACAGTCCCACTGGGGTCTCCTTCTTGGCAGAGCACAGTCAATCGCCTCTGCCCTCTGGTCACCAGCCATTGACGCTATTCTGGGGAGTGCTTTGATTGCTTTCATGAGAATCCATTCCCTTTCTTCAGCGGTAAAGAGGGTATGGACAATCTACTGAGAGTCATCCCACATGGAGAGATGATTGAAAAAGACAGACTCAATTAGAGAAATTAAGGAATCAGGTCTAGCATTGAAAGGGGGGTTCTGGTTCTTCCAGTTGTAGAGATCTGTGTGGAGAAAGGGACGCACAAGTAGCGACTGTCAGGAAATGACTGTAGGAGAGTGAGGACTGAAGGAGGAGCCACCCCAGAATCAGGATCAGAGGAGAAGTTGGGAGGGCCATATGGGACTCTCCGGCAAGTGTGGGGAGGGGGAAAGGCAGGGGGAGGTAGGAAAGAGCTGAAGGTGGGAGTTGGCAGGGATAGGGAAGAACTAGACGGTGGAGTAGGGGTAGGCACAGACAGGGCAGCAAAGTGAGGCCTTTGGTGGGGACTGGGGTGGCAAAGGTGGAGGCTAAGGTGAGGAGGGGAGAAGAGGATAAAGATGGTTTTATGGGGGGAGGAGGGATTCTTATCTAAAGATAACTGTGAGTCCTGCAGAACAGTTTTCAGAGGGAGATCATTAGTCTCTGCTACAGGCCCTTGAAGGGTCCATCTGCTGACAACCAGGGAGGGCATGGCCCCCTTGTCCATTGAGGGCCATATACACCTTCATCGGGGGACAGGTTGGAAGTTGCTTCAGCCTGAGGCAAGATGTATCCAATCTGATCTGGGTGGTTGGGCTTACGGAGGGTGACATGCACCACTGCCCAGGCTATCTGAGAATCAAAAGTACCCTGGGAGGGCCAGTCAGCCCTGAATGTGGACCATTCAGTTTCACAGAATGTTCAGAGGTGACTCTTGGTGATGGGAGAACCATAATCCTCCTTAACTATACCAGGGTAAGATTTATCAAACTTCTTTAGAACACAGGTTAGAGGGCAGTTAGGCTTGCTAGTATTATTACCCTTACTGTTCATTAGTTCAGTTGCCCCAAGTCCAAAACAAACCAATCAACACAGAAAGCATAAAAGACAGAAAGAGTACAGTAAAAATGAAGCCAAGATAAGACAAGATGTAAAAAGACAAGACAAACAGGACATAAAAACAGACCAACAACCTCAGGTGGGCAGTGCAACGTCTCACTTTTTGCCCTGGATAGGAGAATATTGGGATCCTGTTGAACCCCCTCCACATCCAATATAGGGATCCCACAAAGCAGAAGCAGACTATAACCCACCAGAAGGCCTCCGTAGATGCTTGCTGCCTTTCTTAGCATGTTGAAGGCAATCTCAGAACCCCGGAACCTCTCAAGGCACGTGCCTCCTAAGGCAGTCCCCCAGCCCCACCCCCAGGAGTTCTGGAGGGACGGTCTGGGTTTAGAATTTGGGTGGGGGGTCTGAATCTCGCTGGGGCCTCCAGAAAATGTTAATCTCAACTGTGAGAATAAGACCATTACCACAGTTTGAGCCAAATTTGAAGCAAGCTTGAATTTTTAATGGGGGTACACCCAAGAGCTGGCCAGAGACTGCCTCCTAAGTTGAGTTAAAGAGAGCAGCAGTGAATCCATTCCTTGAGTCCCTTTTAAGGAGAAAATCATAAGTAGTTTTACTGAAGAGAGACAATGGGGGCAATAAGGAAACACAGGGAAAATACTAAAACAACAACAAAAAAAATAAAAAATAAATAAAACTATCATGTGTTCACCCATGTGATTAGGAAGGGTTCAGGGAGGGTCAGGGAGTGTAAGGGTATTTTCAAAAACAAATCAAGGTCACGGGTTGGTGACAGTCAGGTTCCAGGAAACAGAGGAAGCTCAGTAAATAGAAACTTATTTTTAACAATACAGCATAATGGCTCCTGCCTTCAAAATGGAGTCAGGCATGTTTCTCAATAGCAAGGAGTGCCTGAAGGTGCTAGCATCCCTGCAATAGAGCTGAAAGTATACAGGAGTGACTCACTCACAGTCAAAGATTTCTCAGAGACGGATTGTCTATCTTCCTGTTCCCAAAGTTGGGAAGTAATCCAGAGATGCTGAAATCAGAATCTGCATGCACTTAATGAGCTTCCCTTCCTTCAAACTAGTTTCTTTCCTCCTCTCCATCCCTTCCCACCATCCCGACACCTCCCAGTCCCAGATCCTTCCCCTCCCATCCTTGTGCCTTCTTCCCTCTGTTGTTGTTGTTGTTGTTATTTTAATCTGTTTACTTTTTCTGTGGTTGCAGGGATCCACTAATTTTTACTGTATATTCTGTGTGTACTGGAGATCAAATCTGTGATCAACCCTGAGGTACCTTCGGCTTCTTTCCTGAAGTTCTTTATCTAAGTAAGCACGCTGGACTTTAGAACTACTTCACCACAATGTGCAGTCATTTTCCCAAGACTGTTTGCAAAGCTGACTGTGCACTTGGCAAACCAGAATTCGAT